GACCACCTCTCTCATCTGATACGCCGGACCACCTCTCTCATCTGATACACGACCACCTCTCTCATCTGACACAGTAGACCACCTCTCTCATCTGACACACTGCCACCTCTCATCTGACACACGATCACCTCTCTCATCTGACACATGGCCACCTCTCTCATCTGATACACCGGACCACCTCTCTCATCTGATACACCAGACCACCTCTCTCATCTAACATACCAGACCACCTCTCTCATCTGACACAGTAGACCACCTCTCTCATCTGATACACCGGACCTCCTCTCTCATCTGACACATGACCACCTCTCTCAGCACTGGACCACCTCTCTTATCTGATGTGCTGGACCACTTCTCTCATCTCATGGCCACAGAGTCAGAACCGACTCCTGTCTGCCTGCCCAGCAGGTTTCCAAGGCTGGAAATCACATGGGAGGAGGCTTCCCGGCCTCCTCCTTTGGATCCGCTGGTAGATTCGAACCACCAGAGAGGCGCCCCCGTGGGTTCGCAGCACAGCCCCCTACCGACTCCACCACCTGAGCCACTGGCGCTCCTCGAGAGAGAGACATGGTAGTCTGTGCCCCACAAGACTTACAACCGTAGACACGCGATGGGACAGTTCTGCTGCCCCTGTAAGGTCACTATGAATGACAGCCCCCTCGGCGATGGTGGCTCCACGGACTTCTTCCTGCTAATCCCTGGGAGCCCTGCGATGGGCATGATTAGCCCATTTTACAGATGAGGTAGTAGAGGCCAGCCAAGGAGAAGTGCCTTGCAGCAGCTACTGCTGATCAAGCACTTCCTGGCTGGCACCGTCCCCAGCACGTGACACATATTGTCCTAGTATCCTCACAGTGGGCCTGGTCCCCTGAGACACTGTGGCTGTCGTCCAGATTTTACAGATGAAGAAACCGAGCCCCCCTAAACACACACACACACACACACACACACACACACACACACACACACCCATGCTGGGGCCGACGTGGTGCCCGGGCGGTTAGTGAGACTCTGCATGTCGCCGGGTGCCCTGAGGATCAGGCCCATGCCCACCCAGCCCCACCTGTCCTTTGTGAGCTCTGCAGAACCATGGCCCCACCTGCCTGTGGGGAGCAGCTCCCCCCAACTCCGGCCCTGACGCTGCCCCCCTCATCTACCTCTGTATCCGCTTCCCCGCAGAGAAAAAGACCTGGCTCGTTCGTGTCAAGGTCCGCATTGTCCAGCACAGCCAGGGCGCTGGCAGGCTCCAGGGCAGGCGGGCTGTGTGCCCAGCTCCCTCTGCGGCCTCTGGCCTTGGCCCTGAACTGTGCCAACAAGGTACTCAGGTCACGGGTGGGGGCCAAGGCTGAGACAAAGGGCTCGTGCGGAAGGTGGGCCACAGAATGAGAGACGGGTGTTTGCACCATTAAGCGGGGCTCGGCAGGAAGCTGGCTGGTGACACTGTGACCTTGGGGCTGCCCGTTGGGACAGTGGGAGGTGGCAGAGGGGACAGAGCAGTGCTTTGGCAGCGGCCGGTGGCCTCACTGTGACCAGTGCAGTCAGCACTGGTGTCCTGAGGTTGCTCCCACCCTGGGATTCAGGGCTTGTGAGGACAGGAAGGGCATCCTGCTTGTCCCCTTCCCTTTCTTTCCCCGTCCCCTGCTTCCTGCCAAACCC